TCACATTACTCATGTTAGTGATATGTAACCTGTTACAAAGTAGTTGTCCGCTGGTGGCATTACTTATTATGTACTCATCTGGTTCTTGGTGAGAGATTTGGGTTTGCTCTCTTTTGACACTTAAGCTTTCTTATTACTGGATGTCTTGGTTACTTTTCTCTCATTGCTGGGACAAATCACTTGATATCCAAGATGAAGGAAGGAAAGATTTACTTAGCTCACTGTCTGAGGAGGTTTCAGTTCATAATTAGCTCCAAGGAAGGGTGGCACGACCCTGGTGCAATATTTAAAGGAAAGAGCCAGAGCCAAAAAGGGAGGAACAAGCCTCTTCTCCTCCTTCATATTGTACACCAGTTTCCACTGCCCTCCAAGGTGGGTGTAGCACTCACAAAATTTCTGTGCCCTTCTCTTGCACAGGATGAGGATATTTACAAATTAAGATCCTAGCTTCCTGCTGAGCCTCTTAGTTAAACCTCTAAACTTCACAGTGTATCAACCATAACACTCAGGAAAACAGAAAGTATTTGCTTTTGGATGAAATATGAATAAGTGTCATTTTCTTTCATTTGGCTTGGGGCAATATGTGTTTCAGTATAATAATTCTTTTAAAAATACCCAGTCACTATACACAATATTTCAGTCAGCTCCCATATTTCTCAGATATTTGAAAATCAACCTCTATCACTGAGGTTTTTTGAACACAGGAAGGAAGGTGCCTACTGCAACATTGTCTGCTGATCTATTATCTATCCTGAATGTTACGATATGCATATCTGAAATATAGCTAAAATTTTTATCTGAATTAGAAAATATACTAAAGAGTCAAAATCATGTAGATGAAATAATCATATGGCTACATATGAGAGTTGTATGCTTATTTTTAGATGGCTGAGGTTTGACTTTTACTAGGCTATTATTTTTTATTAATGAAAGCTTGCATAAAATATAATGTAGAAAATCAAATCTCCTTGCCTATGAATGTAACATTTTAATTTTCAACATGATGTCTATTATCATACGTACATAGGCACATTCACTATACATATTATCTATTTATTTATCTATCTATATGTGCTTTATACAATCTAGGGTATGAACTATATGCTATTCAATAAACTATATTAGATGTATATATATATATATAATGTTTAGTAAGATTTTTATTTATTACTATAATTGCTATTGGGCAATGGATCTTAGTATCCTTTTCCAATTATTATTTTTTATTACTTTTATCATTCTATGTTTGCAGTGCCCAGCAATCATATCTTTGTGGGGAACTGGTACATGTACCTGTCATATCTCAACTCATTTTTCATCCCTTCTCCCCTTCCCAACTCACTTCCTCTGTCTCTTAGTCCCTTTCCCATTTGCAAAAGATCTATCTCCCAGCTTCCTATTATCTTTTTTAAAAAAAATTTTTTTTATTTTAAAGAGATTAGGACAAAACAGGACATAACAAAGCAGATCAGAACAGAACAATGTAAGCAACACAGTATTTCACCAGGAGAAAACCCGTAATTAAGAGTAGCTACCATAATGTCTTTCTTTGAAATACTTGAGCATAACTTCATATACAATAGTATCAAACATAACAAAATAGTATAAAATGATTCAAGAGAATGAAAGCATTACAGGACATTCAGAACCAACTAACAGAAAATGAACAGTGGCTATTGTATTATCTAATTTTCTATAGAAAATTTGTTTATGCTATCACACATAATATAGTCCATTAAGATACAACATGATAGAACCAATGGAAACAGAAGACCAAAAGCATGGTAGGACTCCAGAGTAACATGATATTAATCAGCACTGACTATATAATGACTTGTCTTCTTCAAAATAGTTGTTCATACCATAACAGATAATAAAATCAAACAAACCAGGATAAACCCATTCCAGCTAATGAATGCAATCATTATAGGGCTTCAAAGCAATGTAATGGGGAATCATGATTACTATAGACTCATATACTCTTACCATTTCTTACACTAGGGAGACTGTACGGTATTTATACATGTGAATTTGATTTATTTCATCTATGAATATGGTCTTGCGTTGTGCCCATTTATTTATAAATATCTCAATGTGATCATTCTTTATAGCTGAGTAGTACTCCATTGTATAAAAATACCACAACTTTTTTATCCATTCCTCAGTTGATGGACACTTAGGTTGTTTCATAGATCGGGCTATTACAAATTATTCTGCTGTAAATATTGGTACATATTTACATATATCACTGTGGTATGATGTTTTCAGTTCTTTTTGGAATATGCCCAGAAGTGGAATAGCTGGGTCAAATAGGACTTCCAATCCCAGCTTTTTGAAGAATCACCAGACTAACCTCCACAGTGGTTGCACCAGCCTACACTCCCACCAACAGTGCAGGAGAGTTCCTTTTTCTCCACAGCCTCTCCAGCATTTGTTGTTGGTGGTTTTCTTGATCCTGGCCGTTCTTTCAGGAGTGAGATGGAATCTCAGTGTGCTTTTAATTTGCATTTCTCTAATGATTAATGATGATGAACATTTTTTCATGTATTTATTTGTCATTTGTATTTCTTCATCTGAGAATTGTATATTCTTCTCAGATGTCCATTTTTTGGATTGGATCTTTGAATTTCAGGGGTCTGATTTTTTTTTTTTTAATTCTTTATATGTTTTAGACAGAAGTCCTTTGTCTGGGGGACAGTTCACTAAGATTTCCTATTATCTTTTTATCTTGTTCTTAATTTGTATTTTGGAGAAACCATGCAATACTTGAATCTGCAGTGTCTGATTAATTTCCCTTAACATTGTGAACTCAAAGTAATCCACTTTCTGCAAATGACTCAAATTTATCTTTTGTTACAGTAGAGTAGTGCTCCACTGTGTGTAAATACCATGTTTTCTTTATGTAGCTATCTATTGCTGAATATATGTCATTTCCAAGATTTAGCTGTTGTTCATTGTGCTGCTATCAACTTGGGCATGCATGTAATGCTGTAATATAATGTCTTAATTACTTTTTACTTGCCCCTGAGACAAAGCACCTGATGCCCAAGTTGGGAAAGGAAAGGTTTGTTTCTTACAGTTTTTGGAGGTTTCAGTCCATACTCAGTTGACTCCAAGGCAGGCTGGTATAGCGGGGCTGTAGTTCATGGTGGCTGCAGACAGCAAGGCAGAAACCAGCAAGAGAAAGAGACATACCTTCTTCCTGCCATTACACCACATCCTGGCTCCACCCCCAGGCTGGTCAGCACTCACACCCCCAATCCAAGCACTAGACAGTGTACCAATCACAAATGCATAATGCAAATGCATGAGGCCCGGGAGCCACCAACATAAACCATGACATATAATGTCTTAATTCTTTCAAGAAGCTATCTAGAAGGTGAACAGCTGAATTAAATAGAATTTCTAGTCTTAGGCTTTTGAGGAATCTCCATGCTGATTTCCACACAAGTTATACTAATTCACATTGCCCCCAACAATGTAGAAGTACCCCATTTCCCTCTGCTGCCATACCTACATTTATCATTATTTGATTTCTTGATGGTAATCATTCTTTCTGGAGTTAGATAGGATCTCAGTGTTATTTTACTTTGCATTTCTGTAATTGCCAGAGTTGTTGCATTTTTTTGTTCATTGTCTATTTGTAGTTCTGAGAAGTGTCTGCTCATTTCAATTGCCCAATTTTGGGTTGGGTGAAATATTTATGTTTAAGTAATCTTCTCTTTCTGTTATGAGACACTCATATCAGAATTCAAATTTAGAGTTATTTAGTTGAGTGAATAAACCAGATATATATTGATAGGATTATTTCCAAAAGATGAGAAGTATAAAACAAAAGAGGCCTTTATTCTGAGAACATGGAGAGAGAGAACCAGCACCCCTGACCGCTGGAGTCTGGCTTTCTGTCTGGCGGACGCGAGGCGTCGGGGGGTATGTAAGTAGCCTCGGTTTGGGGTGGAACCTAAGGGGGCATCAGGTATGCATGGGTAGCCCATTGGTCCTAGGTTTGGCACCACAGGTAAGTTCCCAGGGGCGGGGAAGATGACTTCACAGGTAAATTCCTAGGGGTGGAGGAGATAGGAGCTTCCTGGTTCTGGTTGAGGCTTTTCTGGCTACAGAGTCCTGACTGGGCAAAAACCCTTTCATATATCAGTGTCATTAGGCTCATTAAGTGAAAGATCTAAGTTAATTATGAATGTATTTTAATATATTTTTCCATACTTAGAGAGTATTCAAAAGTGTAGCCCAATTTAAAAGCAAGTTGATATCACATCTTATGAGAAAATAATTTCAACTGAAGCAACAAACCTTAAAAAGTACTTCTTTGTCTTTAAGAAAAAAGTATAAAAACTTTTTAGAATAGTTTTTGCACAAAATATTCAACTTGCTGGAGTATATCATTATTTTTCCTGTAACTTCCTATGAGGATGCATAGCTTTTATCTTTCAGTGCTTTTGAAACACATTTTTTCTGGTTCTTACTTTGTAATGGTGCCTTTGCTTGGATTTTTTACTATACCCAACTGTCTTAGTTACTTTTTACTTGTGGCTGAGACAAAATACCTGAAGCCCAAAGTTGGGAAAGGAAAGGTTTATTTCTTACAGTTTTTTGGAGGTTTCAGTCCACACTCAGCTGGCTCCAAGGCAGGCAGGCATGTCTGGAATGCAGTTCATGGCGGCTACAAACAACAAGCAGGAACCAGCAAAGAGCAAGACACACCTTCTTCCTGCCATTACATTACTTCCTGCCCCCCCCCAGGTAGATGTAGCACTGACACCATCAATCCAAGCACTAGACAATGAACCAATCACAAATGCACAATGTAAATTCTTGAGGCCTGGGGGCCACAGACACAAACCATAACACCAACTAAAACGACCAACTATTTTCTAAGCCAACTGGGAAAAATAGGCATCAGAAGCAGTGAATTCAGGTGAATTCATTATTCCCTTGGCTTTGGTTTTTATCGATGCCTATTTATCTGTGTTTTTCTTTTCCAGTGCCTGGAGCCCTGCAAGGAACCAGGGGAGCTGAGGAAACACCAGTGTCAGAGCTTCTGTGAGGTAAGACAACATCGAATGAATTATATTCCTTCTTCCTGGAAGGCAAGACGTCACATTACTGTCCTCCCACCTTGCACCATGGTTATTCTACAGGCAGTTTTCTGTGCATTGTGAAAATGTTCCTGTCCTTGAGGAGAAGCAACTCTAATTTTTGCAAGTGGGGTTTCTCATCATTCATCTCTTTTGGGACTCCCCCATCCTGCGTAGAATGCTCACCCACTCTTACCTGTGTGTGGCCTCTTGCTTCACCTTTCCTGTCACTTAGAGCATAAAGGGAATGTAGTGTCCTGAAGGATCAGTGTCTGTAATCAGAAATGGTGAAGAGAGCAGGATGTACCCTCTGAGCTGTTTCCTATAGCTTGGTTTCTTCTAAAATATGGCTGGGAGGATGGGAGACAGGCACAGTGCCCTTTTCCAACTGTAGTGGTTGTGTTAGTTACTTTTTTCTTATTGCTTTTTATGGAAAATGGACTAAATATGGGAAGAAACTGCACAAGAGGGCATATGAGGTGCTTTATTGTACTGGTGGGCTTGACTGGGGTTTCTTTAAGAGTCCAAGCCCTGCCCAGTGGAGTTCTGATATGTTTATGGGGAAAGCAAGCAGGGAGGTACAAAGGTAGAATTGAAACACTGGCACAATATGACCGGAGGGTTGTGTGACATCTTGGGTTCCTAAGGGAGTTTAAATATTATAGGTTACATTGCAAGGCCATCAGCTATACAAAACATGGGTAGTGCAAGGGAAGAAATGTCCTGTTACATTTTAAGTTACATTGCAAGGCCATACAAAAACAGTAAGGTGGGTTACACAATTTCAAGTTACATTTTAAGATCATATGTTAGACAAGCTTACACAAAAGGGAAGGAAGTATTCTGTTATCAGACTTCTCTGGATTTGGGTACATCCATCTGGTCTTGGTGGGCAACCTTGGCAGACTCTCCTTGCAGGCTTTATTTAAAATTTTAATTTCACTTTTAGCTGAGCCAAAATACCTGGAGCCCAAAGTAAAGAGGGCAAGGTTTATTTAGCTCACAATTTGTGAAGGTTTTAGTCTGTAACCAGCTGAGTCCAATGCTGAGTGGCATGGCTGAAGGGCAACAGTTCCTGGTGGCAGAAGAAGGCAAAAGCAACAAGATCAAAAAGTTGGGGGACAACAAGCATCTTTTTTTCTCCTCTAACTCCATGCCCTCCTCTTGCATAGGCTCAGGATATTTACAAAATAAGGACTCTGACCTTCTGCTGAGTAGAAGTTAATTAAACTTCTAAACTTCTCAAGTTGACACAATGAATCAAACATCACAATATCCCAGGCTGTAAATAGCAAACTTAGGGCATGTCCTCTGCACCGTAGGATGTAGAGCTGCTAAGTCACTTAGTTAAGCTTCTAGACTTCTCAAATGGACACAACGTGTCAATCATTAAAATGGTCCTGAGGAAAAAGGAGATTCTGAAGTTTATTGAAGACCAACAGCAAACTCATTAGAAAGAGTTCAATATGGCAGAGAAAGATGCCCAGCTCCAGGTCTTGGAGAGCAAATCTAAAACTTACCCCTTGTCATCAGAATTAGAATATGGTATGGGCCATCTTTGGAGCGAACTGGGGACCATGTGGAAACTCTTCCAAGGGACTCAGGGATACATAGTGGTCTAGGCTTTCCCGTGTAGCACGTATTAGTGTGATGCTCTGTAGGGGAAATTTCACCTTGGAAGGTACGTGAATTCTGCCTTCTCAACACAGAATTGGCATCATACTGACTGCCTTGATATGTATTGTCAATTTGATCTTCTAATGGTAAATCCCCAAGCGCTGTGCCTGGGGAAAGCCAAGAAAGCATGTGGACACTCATCAAGTGGATGGGTGATAGGATCCTACAGGTGCCCCAGTGTTCTGGGTAACAGGGCTAGGCCAACCCTCTGTCTTCTGGCCTCTGTCTGCGGTCACCCAGGCTCTATTGTGGGTGGAATCCATTTCATCAACCACCCCAGAGGTCCTGCTGCTAGAGAGTTACTTCAAAGTGGTGTGAAAGTGCTTCTGAATTTCTCAAGTGATCACTCCTACTCTTCTGAATCTCAGCTTTATTTTGTCCTAATGGTTCTTTCTCAATGTTTTATGTCCGGCTAGGCTACTGATAATTTGAGCACTTTTATGCAGTGATGCTAGTCATCAAAACCACCTCCACCCTAAGCATTCCTGTCAGGGAAGTCTTCAGAAACAGTCTTTTTAATTTTGACAGCGTAAAGGCCTTGAATAATGCATAGGCCTCCTTGTAGATATTCAGGGTTATTCAGCTGATTACCCTGCAATTTACAACCCTGGATGAGCTAAAGACTTGGTGTTAAATCAAATAGGAAAATAACCTATGGTGCCTTTCTGAGGGCAACCCTTTTCAAGATACTGAGGAAGAGGCAGAACAGCAACCTAAGTTCTCTGCTGAGGCACTGACATCGGTGCTATCAAAACCCAGACTTTTCCAGGAGCCAATTCATTCACTTTGGTCTATCTTTGTATGAGTCACTTATCCCTGAGTAACAAATCACCCCAAAACTGTTTTGCATTTGCAGGAATACTATCTAAATAAAGTGATCTATAATAAAATGAATTTAATGAAGTTCATTTATTCCACATGTCTTTTTTGAATAACTATACCATGCCCAGCTGTTTGGTAGAAATATAAAAGTAAACAAATTAGAGGGAAAAAATTCCATGCCTACTTTAGGTTTGTTTATTGCTGATGGGAGAGAACTTTGATACTAACACAAACTGAAAAACTGACTCACAAGCCAGGCACGGTGGTACACACCTGTAATCCCAGCACTCAGGAAGCTGAGGCAGGAGGATTACTGTGCCTTTGAGATCAGCTTGGGCTACAAAGTAAATCCAAGGTCAGCCTGAACTGCGTAGCAAAAATTTGTCTGAAAAAACCAACCAACCAAACAAGCAAGCAAGCAAGCTGACTCACCATATGAATATAGAAAAATCACTTAGGAGTTTAAATTCATTTTCAAACCTAAGATTTATCCAACTTCATTTATAGTATTGTTATAGAATTATAGGGGCTGGGGATTTAGCTCAGTGATATAAGTGCCTGCCTGGCAAGTGCTAGGTTGTGAGTTAATTCCCCAGTACACTCCCCCCAAAATAATTAAATGATAATTGAGTGAACCATTCAAAAACTTAACAAATTATAACAAAACAATAAGTTGTTGATTTTGGGGGGGTTCCAAGAATCAAACTCATGACCTTGTGTTTGCCAGGCAGGTGTTTATGCCACTGAGCTATATCACAGGCCTCTTGAGATTGATGTTACTCCCAGAGTAACAGCTCTGGGAGGTACATGAATCCAATTCTGAATCTGAGATCCCACACCTGTCCTTTACCCATATGAACACTACCAGGCCACTGCATGCCTACTTTTAATGTGTATTTTATTGTGTACATAAGCCAAACATTTAAATGAACTAAAATATTTTCATAGACTCTTGCAGGTGAAAAAGGGCTGTAGCATTTGTTTTATAAGTTTGTTATTCCTAAATACCACTGACAATGGGTTTCTAATTTTACATGTGATTTCTCAGAAAGGGGACATGTTTGGAGGTCATTTGCTGCTTTTCTCTTTGGAAATCCCTAATGTAATCCTGGGTCTCTGTGACTGAACTTCTTAGGGAACAGTTCTAGGTCTTCTGAGCCAAGTCTGGCTGATTAAATGGGACTCAGATGTTTGTGATCTGCTCTGCTCCATCAGCAAAGTTTAACCAAGTCTTGAAAGGTAAGAAGCCCATCCCAGCTCTGCCAAGGATTTTGTGGTGCTGCCTTAGCCCAGCCCTGGAATACCCAAGCCTCTGTGCTTTCTTTCCATTGCTTTGATTGCTTTTCTGTCTTTGCCTGTTTTTCTGATTTCTATTTCTACCTTGCTGTCAATTCTGATGATTCTATAGCAACAGGCTAAATGCTGAAAAACTTTAGAGTGTTTTTCCTGCATTTTTTTTAGGACAGTCATTCACCAAGACAGACCTCCTCCAGCTCAGTCTATTTCATCCCAGAAGAGTGCCTCAAAAGAGTGTAATGTCACGAATCAGCTTTCACTGGGTAAAATTTCAGACCCCCAAAGGGACCGCAGGCTTGACAGTAGAAACCATTAGACTGTTAAATATGTCTGGCCTGATACATTTATGTGTAAGTTAGTCTGATCTTATTTGTCTTTCAAGGTGTGTGTTTGAAAATTAAAATCTATAGGACAAAACTGGCCCACTGCTTGTGCTTGCAGATAAAGTTTTATTGGCACACAACAACACTGGATGGTTGGTTAAATATGGTCTATGGTTGCCATTTTGGTAGGATGGCAGAGTTCAGTGGTATGACAGATCATATGGCCCTTAAAGCTGAAAACGTTAACTATTTCACATTTTACAGGAAGTTTCCTAGTCTAGGAAGAATAATCATCACAATTATTTTCATAAAATCTCCCCAGCCATGTGCAGTGTTATTTCCAGCACCCCTTGTAAACCTAAATAATTTTGCTTGGTTGTTTTTTCACAAAATAAATTTCCATAGATGTGTTAACAATAAAATAAAACCAGGGGTTGTATGTTTGGCTTCTTGAGTAATGATTTCTCTCTGTTTGATTTTCTGTAATGCAGTATCCGCTTTTGATATTTTCAGATGGATGTCACAGTTAGTAATGATGTTTCTGAAATGAAGATTTTAAGTGTTTTTATTAGAACAGGAATAAAACTAAAGTCTTTCAAGGGTCATTATATAAGAAACATCCTCATATATCATGATTTTGGGGTATAGCAGGTTACAGCAAATAGGTAAACAGGCAAATAGTTTAAAGTTTGTTGCTTAGTTTATTAAGTGACAGTAACTATGTTTCTTATCTTGAAAACAATAATGAACTATTCTTTACTATTCATATAATGTGTATTTTATGCATTTAAGCCTTTCTCATAATGATTAGATCTTAACTTACAAATGAAAATATTTTCTTTCTTAGTGGTG